TTAAACTAAACCAAAAAAGCAATTTCAGTAGCAGAATGTTAATTATTAACACTAAATATATAAAGTAGGAAGTGCTCAACAGCTTGGCCCAGCTACTGAAATAGATACCTGCACATACCTACATTGCAAAGCTTGTTCTGCTCCAGCAGAGCTACCTCTGAAATACAACACTACCAGAAAACATCATATTCTGTTGAGAAATGACACTGTTTCATATGAAATAATCAGAAGAGACTAAGTATTGTTTATCTGCTCCTGTTACAGCTCCAAAGGATTCTGAATAGTGAAATGCCTGAACCCTTTATTCAGCTTTTTTTTCCAGGAAGGGAACAGTCCATGTTAGAGCACTTTGTCACTTGCTGTCAAAATGACACGCTGTTATTGCACACCAGGAAACAGCCTAAAAGCATAGCAGCACAGAAAGCAGTTTTTTACCAGCTAAGCATTCTCATCTGAACTTCTAAAAAATTGCATTATCTGGTGTATAACTAATCAATAAATTTCTCTGTTATTTAGTGTGCTCAGGGTTGTTCAATGACTGCTAGGTAGCAAAGCAAACATTAATTTTTGCACTCTTGCACTTGTCTTCTGACACTTTAAAAGTCCCACAGGAATACAGAATATATTTGATGGCATCACTGAAATGCAATATATCTTAATGTTCATCTGTTCTTCTCCTGAGATGTCAGAGGTTAAGTATGGCTCTTTGCAGGCAAACAAAAGCAGCATGAAAACGATGGCACTAAGAACTAAACCGAATTACCTCCTACAAGTCCAGGTGTCCCTGCTGAATTAAGGTATTTCATTCAGCTCAACCTCCAGCTGTTCTGCAGCTTCACTGTATGCGATCTTACATTTGTGATACAACCTTCTTTCCCAAAATCAGGAAATTTCACTCCCCTCCATGTCTGGGGATGCTTATTTTGGAATGCACACAGTTAATCCATTCTGAAGTACTGAAAGGGTCAAATCAATATGAATACTACAAAATCAAGTGCTTTCTATTGCTTTTCTTCTGATTATTTCACCAGTATTTTGACAGTGATGCTACAATGAAAATTATAGATAATATTTTGTGCCTAATATTGCTGTTCAGGTTATAGACCAGCATCTAATTTAATGCTTCAGTTAGCACTATCAGATACCTACCTAATATGCATGCTAGTTAAAATAGCATATGCCCCCCCTTGAAGGGGTTCAAGAATAATGTATCCTTCCTTTTTGCACATAGAAGGGCTGAGAGGCATTGGAAGTAGTGCGCATGCACAAATGCTACTCTTCTGAACAGCACACAGCAGGCTAGAAACATCACATTCACAGAGGCATCATCCATCGACTCCAGCTCTCGTGCTGCATCTTTAGTGAAAACCACCACGAATCAACTCTAGCCAGACTTTCAGCATGAAACTTATCCTGCCATGGGTAAGGGCATGAGCACCAAGTTTGTTCCTTGCCTCTGTTACTCCTGCTGGCAAGGCAGAGGGATGTCTATAGAAGAGAGATTCTCACTGACATGTTTTTGCTCAGCTTTGGTTTTAAATGTTGAATTTTCAGTTCATCTTTCTATGGAAAATTAGGACAAGTGGCCAAATCACAGTCCTCCTAGTTCTGAATTTAAGTTCATTTCTGCAGATGCCAGTAGCTAGTCCAGCTTCCACTATGGGACTCCATCAGTGGGACTTCTCTGCCATGAATAAACTGAGGACATGAACTTATTCAGAAATGGCTATTCAGGAATACTGTTATCTTCACGACACACCTTGGTTATCTTCAGAAACATGAAAATTGGAAGGCTACCCCTCCTCCCCTTCCTGCAAGGGCAAGAAAAAAAAAAAGCCAGAGGAATGGTTTTTCTTTTCCTGGCATGCAGTATAGTAAGGCAAAAGTAATTAAAAGAACACATGGAGAAACGAACAAAGATGCCAAACCTGGCTGTGCAAACAGCATGGACTATGCAAATCCTAAAAGGTCTGCACAAAGAGGCAACTGCACAAAAGCTGTCTACCGAAGTTTTCAAAGTAGAAAAGCTTGGCAGAAAAATTGGGTGGTTGTATATTAGCTTGGCTTCCAAGTCCCCGCCTCGGCCCTTCCCCCTAAATCCTCCCCGGCTTGGAAAACCCCTTTCACAGCAGAGGCTGTCAGCAAGAGTCTATAAGCATATCTGTAGGCAATCCTGAGGGACTACTTTAGGCTAAAAATAAATAAATGACCTGACACCATGCATGTTTGAAAGCTGTTGCATGCTGTATCGAATGCAAAGTGCTGCTGCTCATGTTTCTGCCTTCCTAAAGACAGATGGCAAAGTAGAGCCAAGTCAAGAAAATCCTGTTGAAACAGGAGGAACCCTAGGTGCCAGGAACAGGTGTCTCCAAACTCTGTCTTGAGCGGCCTTTATTCTTACATGTCCACAGGCCAGCTGTCCTTCTTCCACACTTAGATCTTGCTGTTATCTTGCTGGGGATGGTGCAGCATAAAGTCAGTATCTTTTTTCTTCATTTCTTTTTTTTTTTTAAGCTACCAAAATGTAAATTAACTCCAATGCAAGGGAATTCAAATATCTCTTTCTGTGAAGAATACGAAGACTCTCAGCTTTTAAAAATACTTCTGACCTTTTTCACATAAATCAACTCTGATGCAAATGTATTCTCATGGGAGCAAAGATAACTAAGATACCTTTACATTAGTTGTGAAGAGTATCAGAAGAGCAATATGTAAAAATTTCATTTATTTCCACTTAAAAACATATTCAGGTTCAGGTAGCATAAGCCTCTTACAGAACTTTAAAGATTTTTCTGGTTTTGATCTTGACACAAAACATTGGTGTCTATTTTTCTAAGAAACATGATTTTGAAAAAGCAGACAGTTGTGAGGAGGTTACCCTACCCAGCTAATGACTTTTGCTTCATGTACTGGAAATAAAAGGCACAAAATACAGAGCCTCTCCCTGAAATAGCATTTTTACTGTAGAGAAAAGTTAACCTTGAAACCAGACTAACAGAGATTTCATTAGGTTTTATACAGCAGGAACAGTTTGGCTCCATGTCTGTTTAATCCAAACCTTGAAGGTTTAAATCCCACTATATTACAAGAGCATTACTCGCTCGGAGTTAATTACAGATTCCAGTTGGAGGCATGACCCTTTCTGCACCAAAAGGAGCAGCTCAGCTAACAGGACAGCTCTGCACTTTTTTGGCACCTGCTTGGCATACCTGATTAAGATTGATTAAAACATCGACATTAAGACCCTGTTACAGAAACACAATGCCTTCCCAATAGATACCAGCATTCTGCAAGGGATACTCTTAAACACTTTTTGTGAGTGGTGCTTCCAGCAAGCCAGCTCCACCTTCAATACTACTGATTGTCACTTGGAGAGAAATGTTTGTTTCCCGACTACCCATGGTGCAGGTCATCTGATCTGCCCCGATATGGAGACATTCAGGGAACTCAGCTCCAGCACAAAGTTTCATGAGGAAAATGAAAGATTTTTAGCATGTGCCAGAAGTTTTGTGTTTGAAGCAGCTGGAGAACAATTAAAATAATTTTTAGGAACAAAGATCTGAAGAGATGATGGAGGTGGCTGCGCACAAACCTTTGCAATTCCATACACCGACACAGTTCAGCTCCACTTCGCGAACGCCTGAGGACCATGTTTTTCACATGCCCTGTCCTGCACAGCTCTCATCTCAGAGGTGAAGCTCTGCCCTCTTGATGACACTGCAACATTCAATAAAAGGCCAGATGGCTGCTACTGGGAGGTGTTATGATGGCACTGCTTTATGTACTTTCTTTTTGCCACACAGGGAAGCTGTCAAAGATTCCCAGATGATCACAGAAAGTAGTTCATGTACCTCTGGGAAAAGGGGTCTGATGAATGTGAACCCTGTTTTCACAGCTTGGAGGGGGGGAAAAAATCAAACCCTCAACCCCCTATTCTGATTGTTGAATTCAATGCTGTGATCAGAATGCACCAGTCCATAAAGTATGTGTAAAACTGTAATACCTATGATCACAAATAAACTCCAGGTCACATACAGGTTTTAGGTATGGTACTTCACAGGAAAAGAGAAATACCTTGTGGTTTTGGTTTATTCTTCTCCTGAAATCAAATTATGCATAATCAGTGACTGGGAGGGATGATCCTTCCGGGATTGCAGAGTGTACCAGCAGAAGCCCCAGAGCATGAGAGAAACATGGAGTGATTCTGGTGCAAATTTATCTTTAATTTTGCTGCTGTTTACAGCAGCCTGCTTATCTTTTAAATACTACTCCCTCCTCTTCCTGGGCTGAGACACTGTTTGCTTAGAGATGAAACTCCTGAGCCCAGAGTTAAAATACAGGCTTTAGGGTCTAAGTATGGTTCTGGAAGATTATATCAGTTTATCCAAAACTGAGAAGCAGCAGTGTTTTCTGAAGGGGCAACAAGATTAATAATAATTGGTAGAATATTTTTTTTTTTCTGTGCAAAATCAAATCCTAACTGCTGCAGTGCATCAGAGTTTAGAGAGCTAGCAGGGAAATACTCAGATCTACTTTATAGCTCTACAGTTTAGATAGGAAAGATATGAAATGGCAGTTCAAATGCTGTGCCTGTGTCAAATCATTAGGGAGTCTGACTATGAGCTCTTGTTCTGCAACCAGAACTAGGTTATACACGTATGTTCAGATTGTGACTTGTAAGAGAACATTCTGTCAAAGGCATCAGGAAAAACTGAACTTGAACAATCTGGACAAAGCTGTGGTTTGGGTTTGGGTTTTGTTTTTTTTTTTTTTTTTAAATAGTGTCTGGTCTACTCTTCCAAAATAGTTAAAGAGCTAACAGCAGATGGGATATTGACTGAGATTACAGTGAGAATCTAAGAATTCTTCAAGTTTTCTGACCTCCAATTTTCTCTTCTGTGTGGAAATAAATTACAGAAGAGAAAACTGGTGACATTTTGAATGTCTCTTTGGAAAGAAAGAACAATTTAGCAACATCATTATTATAGACTGTAACACACTTATGAACAACATGTAATATAAGCTTTTTAATAATATTTGACTTAATTGTCCAGATTACTGTCTCTTCAGTATTTCATGGCTATCAGTGAACACCTTCAATTGACATTCTTAAATAAGTTACTGTGTAAGTAAAGTATGCTCAGAGTTCTTTTATGTGGACAGTACTTACATTTAATTACAGATGATCTGGATATATTTATAGGTGCAAAATACATTAAAATTGTTTACAGGAAATAAGCTCAACTAGCACTAACTCTGGAATCTAAATGTTCACAACAGCACCAACAGCAGCTCAGCTATTTATTTGAACATGCTTTTCAAAATGTACTTTGGAACACAGTAGAAAAGAAATTCAAAGAAAAGCCAAAAAAGAGGGAAGCACAGAAGATTAAAACCCCATAGCAGGTTGGATCAATAAAATATTAAACTGCAGTTCTTAAATACTACACCAAGTAGTAGTAGTCTGGTTGGTCTTAAATGGTGTTAAAGCCCTTGTTTTCTAAAGGAGACAGCAATAAGCATTTTGCCTATTCAATCCAATCAAGATTTAGGCATCGTGCTATAAAAGCAAACATATCTGACACTTCTTCTATAACTTTAGCAGTTGGCTTTCCTGCTCCGTGCCCAGCCTTGGTGTCAACATGGATGAGAAGTGGATTGGTTTGTTTACGGCTTCGGCCCACAACATATTGCAGAGTAGCGATAAACTTCAGTGAATGTAGAGGGACCACGCGATCATCATGATCTGCTGTGAGAAGCAGCGTAGAGGGATACTGAATGCCATCTTCTTCTGGTAGCTTGATATTGTGAAGTGGAGAGTACCTGAGGAGAGCACACAAATGTTTACATATTTTTACCTCAAGACCCAGCAAGAAGGTCCTCTCATACTGAAATTGTCACAGGGCCATTCGATGGCACTCAGAATACTACAGTTCAGAGTCACATAAATCAGAATTGCACTACTGGCAACTGATACGTGGTGGTGACCGCAGATCTCTGGCTCTTAAATGTGAAGCAATTACATTTCTTTAATTTCAGAGAGGCATATGCATACATCTCACAGAAATACCAAAAATATCAGGAATGGGCAACAGAGAAACTACAGCAAAAGCTGTCCAGTCCATAGCGGGATCCATCGTGCTCGGAAACAGGGAAATTGAGACTTTTTCCCAGCATATGTACGTAGTCCAGGTCTGCACATGGATGGCTTCTTCCCATGCAAATCTGGAAACAGTCTCGGATGGTAGCCACAAGTGCTGTACAGTTATTAAATTTTCTGCCTCCAATATTTAGGCCACCTTTGAACATGCACTTACCTTGAGGGAACACCATGCAGGGAACTGAAAGGAGAACTCTTAAGTTTTCCTGCTTTCAATAGATGACCTTGATTCCTATTTTTTAAGTAATGAATAATCTAACTTTCAAAATTTGTTTTCTTTGCAGGATAATTTAAATTTTTTAGCTACTGTAACATAACATACAAGGTGTATATACATATCTCATCACAAAGTACCCTCTTGCTTTAAAAATTAAACATAATAGTAAGTCACAAAGAACATCTAACCATTTCATGCTTCATTTAAGCCAAAGCTATGCCTACGAAAAATGTTACGTTCCTTAAATCAAGAGTAGGATACTATTTTCTCCCCCATTTCATGACAGGAAATAGAGAAGGAACCTTTGCTTTATTTTTGAATGAATTTCCCACTTGGGGGAGTTCACATTAAGTCCAAATTATTTTTAAGATCACATGACAATATTTGAATGTCTAACCTAACAGATTCCTGACTTCCTCATTTTCATCTAAGGAACAATGTAAGTGAAATTGCAGACTATGATTTGTGTTGAAAAAAGTTAAATGATAGTCACTACATGCCACTCGATTAGCCTCATGTATTTTTTAGGTATCTGTAAAGGCAACACCGAAGTGACATTACATACATATCTTCCTACATTTGATAAGCAATTGCCAGCTGCTGAAAAGGAGGCAAAGAAATATTTCAGGTATCATCATTTAAGATGTTTCTAAAATTATGCACTGAGACTCTGTGAGTTGGCATGCGTGTAAGTAGTCACAGAGTAATTCCTTCCTACAGATCCATTTCTCAGTCACAAAATCAACTTAAAACTTTGCTTCTACTTTACCTCTTATCTGAATTCACAGATATGCAAGCAAGTTTCAGTGTCCAAAATAATGAAAATTATTTGGATCATTTTTATAACAGTTAATCTTTTATCTATTATCTAAGATCTAAATTATCTATTGATAAAAGATGAATTATGAAATGTGTTAATTGTTTTGTGCACTATGTTTACAAAAACATGTTTGCCACTGAAAGATTAAATTAGACAACTGGAAGTTTTGAAACAATCTAATTACAATGCGCCCTACTGATCATTTAGTATCTGAACTTGACATTGATTTATTTTTTTAAGTAAGTGCTTTAGATCAAATAAGATCTCAGTGTACTTGTAGCATATGTACTTTATAATATCTAAACAGTCTTTGAATTTTCAGACCAGCCAAATCGTTTAGTGTGTCTGAAGCATTCTCCTGGCATGTTAGTTAATCTTCATCATTAAAGAATACAAATGCAATAACAGAAGATGAAGTTCCAGAAAAATATTTTAAAATTATGGCACTTATTCTAACACACTCATTATTAGCCATATCCAACGTGCAGATCACTTCTTTTCTCACATAGCTGTCTCTCGTCTCTCTCTCTTTTTTTTTTTTTTTTTTTTTTTTTTTTTTAATACTCTTTCCAGACCTCTCAGCCAGAAGTTAGGAAATAAATTAATAACCTGTTATGGTCTATTGCCATTCAATTCCTACAAATAAATCCCATCCAAGTTGTATAATATAATTCACAATGGTGATTGTCTCTCTCCCATTATAAAAAATACAATTTATGTAGCAATTCACTTGAGAATATTCTTTTGTGACAGCCTAAAGCAGTCATTATTCAGAAAGAAAACCCTGTGAGTTGTTAAAGCTGTTAGGAGAACAAGATCTTTGAAAATATGACCAGTTGACTCAATGGGGCTTTGAAGACAGTCTTTCATGCAAAACTGACTTGTAAGGAAATGCCGAACTCCCCAAACCCAGGGTGGGAAAGGATGAAACAATACTTAGAATAGATATTAATTGTAGCAACCTGAAACTGTTGAGCAGACTATGCATTTTAACAACCATGGAAGGATTTAAAGGCACTTACTTGTACAGCCATTCAAACTGCTCTTTATTGTCAGAGCAACCGTAGTCAGTGGTCCAAGCATGGCCAATGGTGTACTTGTGGAACTTGAGCATGTCCATCACTCCCACTTGGGCAATAACACAACCAAATAGGTCGGGGCGCTGATTAGCACAGGCAGCTTTGACAGGAAAACAACTCAATTAGTATTCATATCTTAAAGAATTAAGCTCAGCAATGAAAGGTCCACTGACAAGTTCACGAAAGACCAACGTCCAAAAAGGTGTCCTCTATAAACTCAGTTTCTTTTTTTCTTTTTTTTTTTAAAGGTAAAACTATTAAAAAATGTGAGAAGAAATACAGATTACCATATAACTGCAGCCAAAAAACTTGAGCATAAAGTATCTGATATAAACCAAATTGCACTCAGAGACGACTGCCCGTGAATATGAAGTCAAATAGACTTCTAAGCAAAACTGAAAGCAAAATCACAAAAGGATAAAAATTATAACGCCCAAAGATGGAATTTCGAAAGAGCTTAAGAGCTATTTCCCTTTCTTCAGGCAGCAGACATGCTGTTCATTGAAAACTGCCTTCCAAACAAGCAAACTGGGTTTAAAGCAGCAATGCACTTTTAAAATATGTGAGCTTTTGGACTACTGAATTGCAGTTTCCTAAACCATTCACTGTCCAATCTTTTAATATTAGTATCAAAATAGAGAAGGGCATTAAGGAGCAAAACCCCTCCATTTACTGATGAAAATTTTCTTCCATAATTACTATGTAAACTGATATGAAAAGAGTTTTGATAAAATCAGAGGAATAACCTCACTTTAATAAAGCAAATTACTGTTGTATTTTCTCTATGATTTCCATCTTCCTACTACTAGAAAGGCCAATTTCTTTAAGCATAATGCTTGCCTCATATATTTTAAAAACAACCACAGGAGGCTCATCTAGCTCAGTTTCAAATTTATAAGAGTGGCAACGGGCAGATGCTCAGGGAAAAGGCATTAAGCAAATACTGGGAGATATTTTCTGTACATTATTAGCTTTTGAGCTAGTTGTTTAGGTTTTCCCCGAGTTGGAGTTATCTCCAGCCATCCTGTTAAACAGCCATCAAAACACACATCCTCTGTAAATACATCAATTTCCTTTCTTAACGTTTATTCATCTAGTGTTCATCATATCCTGTAGCAGTAAATTCTTCAATTCCAAGTTCTGTTGCTTGATTTAAATCTGTTGCCTCGTGATTGTACAAATTCCCCTGCTTTTTCTGAATGTTAAGAATTAAGAGCACTGAGATTTTCACATAACTACCACAATGGATCCCAGAATCCCTTTCTTAATTCAGAGCTAATCACTGTGTATTCACATGTAGGTATACTCTTTCCGGAATTCTTGCATCTCTTCATTTTTGTCCATTGTGAAAATCATAGAATCATTGAATCATTAACGTTGGAAAAGACCTCAAGGATCATCAAGTCCAACTGTCAACCCAACACCACCTAACTCACTAAACCATGTCCCTGAGCACCATGTCTACATGTTTCTTGAGCACCTCCAGGGATGGTGACTCCACCACTTCCCTGGGCAGCCTGTTCCAATACCTGATCACTCTTTTAGTGAAGAAATTTTTTCTAATATCTAGCCTAAAACTCCCCTGGTGCTGTTTCCTCTTGTCCTATCACTTGTTACTTTAGAGAAGAGGCCAGCCTCCACCTCATTACAACCTCCTTTCAGGCAGTTGTAGAGAGTGATGAGGCCTCCTCTCAGCCTCCTCTTCTCTAGACTAAACAACCCCAGCTCCCTCAGCCGCTCCTTGTAAGACCTGTGCTCCAGACCCTTCACCAGCTTCGTTGCCCTTCTCTGGACCTGCTCCAGCACCTCAATGTCCTTCTTGTGGTGAGGGGCCCAAAACTGAACACAGTATTCAAGGTGCGGCCTCACAGGTAATTTATTCCCATTCTTTGCCTCCTGCTAACCAGGATACTCGCTTCTAGCTCAGCCAGAAATTTCTTACGTTGCCTTATGCAAGGGACTTCACAAAAAGCTTTTGAAAACCCAAGAATAACTCCTCACGTAGATCACTGTTACAAGCACCATATGCCCCCTGATTCCTTCAAACAGCTCTAATAGATTTGCAAGATGTACCTTCAGCCTGCAAAATTCTTCCTTATATGTCAGCTATTATTTATTAGTTTCAATTGGTTTTCCCATTAGAGAAGTCAGATTTACTCATCTGCAGCTTATGGATCGCCATGAACCATTTAAAAATTGGCATTACACTTGCCCCCTTCTGTTCCTCAGATATTCAGGCTTAGTAGCCTGCAGTTTCTTATTGGAGCTCACTTAGGATCTTGCATGTGCACCATCTGGTCCTGGCAACACACTGCTTTTCATTTGATTGATTTATTCCAAAACCTCTTCTGCTGATGCTTCAGCTTGAGTCAGCTCCTCAGAGTATTTCCCATGAAGAGAGACTCCGGAGCAGGGAAATCCCCACGCTCCTCAGGAGGGAACATCAACACAAACATTTGGTGGTTCTGCTCTACCATTATCTTTCTTTAGTACTCCTTTTAGACCTCACTAGCCTCTAAGTCCCACAAATCTTCTGGCTAGCTTCCTGCTCCTGATGTGCATAGGAAGCTTTTATTGCTAATCTTTATAGTGTAAGCAATATGCTCATCAGTCTCCTATGGTCTGTCAGAGTTTATGCTCTACCCTATTTTCTTCATTTAAATGTGATATCTATTTTCTGAAAGATGTGATTTTACTTCTGGTCATCTCTGATTCGTAACTATACTAACTCTTCCTGGGTCCTTTCTGAGCCATATTGATAAAGTATATATAGTGCCTTATAGCTGCCACATAAAAGCTCTTTATCTTTTAACTGAAGCTTTTGATCAGAACCCTCCTCTTCATGTTATTTCCTTTTACAAACATAAATTATATTCTGGTAGGAAAAAAGGCCAAAACAACTCATAACGTTTAATTTTAATAATCTTTATTGCAGAGTGTCTCTTGAGGCACTGTGTGGTGCTCAGGATTGTATAAAAAATTTCTGCTCCTAGTTCCCAAAATAGTTACTTCAGTAAGAAATCACTTACGGAGACACTCATCCATTCCCACTTCACCCCTTTAATTAGCCCTAGTACTTAATTATATGCATTAATAAACTGTAACCTGGAACAACACTTTATTCGTGAATTTTACTCCTCTACACATACTTTGAGCTTTAAAATTCAGTACAAAAGTAAGATTTAAAAACCTCTGAACTGTTTGTCTAAGCAAACATGAGAGGTCAAAAACTGTTTGCATGAAGGTTTTCAGCTTACATCTGTGCTGCTCTGCTCAGCTTTGGGATCACACTGCAGGACAACAAAGTCTTGTTTTGCAGTTGAATGAGGCAATAGCTCAGGGCTCTGCACTCCTCAGAAATACCTCGTGATAGTCAGACTAAAAGGAAATTGTATTTTGGAAGAGTGACAATACTCTTCCTTGTCAGTTTTTTCTTCAATAAATGAGAACTGAGAAAATCTGGCAGTGGGTGCTTGTACCTAAAGTATGAGCTATGCTCTCTAGTGTTGCATGAACAACTACTGCAAAATTTAGTTCTGCTTTGATGAAAAAGCACAACAATTTCCTAAATTCACCTATTTTATACAGTCAAGGAAAATCCCTATCTAGCTCATCAAGAGCACAGAAATCCAGCTGCAAGTACAAGGGAAGGTTTCTAACAACAGATTTTTTTCAGAGCAGGGTGGTCTAGATTCCTAACACCTGTCTCCTTTTGGAATGTCCACCCCACAGATGTCACACACTTCCCCTCACCTAAATAAGGAGCCCAGCTGACTTGTTCAGACAGAAACATAATTTTTTGATGAGTAAAGCTGGGTAGGATGAATCTTGTTCTGACTGAAACTGAAGTCCATATAACCATAAAATAGTATTTTCAGAAGCTAGGTAACATGTTGAAAGTTTAGCTGCATTTCCAAATATATATTTATGCTCATATAAAATTGACTTGTGCAATGCTTGCACTTCCAGTGGTGTGCAAACCCTTTAAGCCTTTACCATGTTAATCCATTTCTGTTGGTGCTCTTATTTACAATGCACAAATACCTCTTGCCACCCAGAACCGAGAAGTATATGAACAGAAAGCAAAAATACAAGTTTACATGTACTTGTTATTTATCTTTAAAATAATTGCTTTTTAAAAATAAGAATGCAGGAATAGCCAAGATGGCTTAGACCATAGACCTGTACAACTCCGAATACTGCTTCTTATGCTGGGTGCTAGTTCACCGAGAAAGAAAATAAAATCAATAGAGCCAGTATTCAGCAGCAGACAAATAGGGAGGAGTATAAAAAAGAAGAGAACAAAGAGTGGGCCTAGTAAATCTGCTCATTTTCTATAAATCGGTGGTTTATGAACTTGAAACACTTTTTGTGTTTTTTTTTTCTCATGAGTAGCTCAACTCTGTCATACTGTCACATGCCTTTCATACTGTTTAAAAAAAAATAAACCCCAATATTATTCATTCCTGTCTCCTTCTCCTTTCAAAATTGAACAAAATCACCTCCCTTTTTCTTCTACTGCTTTCAGTTACAGGGATTTAATCAGAAATAAATTTTGTAGCTCTTTAAATACTCCTTAGACTATGAGACATTTTTGTGACAACCTTTTCTGTTCAGGAGGAGGCTATTAATCTCCTTGAATTTAGGAACACAGCAGTGAATTATATGTGAACAACATGCATTTGTAACAAAGTGCGACATTTAGGCAGTCCCTCAAAAGCTCACGACTTTTTCAAGTAACTGTACTTGTATTTTATGTTTCTCACCAGAGACATTAATGGTTTCATTTGTGGTCATGTTTTAACTACACAATGAAAGTAGAGTCAAATTGTTACATGTCCCTGTACAAAGGCTTTACACCCAGAACTGTCATGTTTTCATTTGCCCTCAAAGAACAAAAATGCATCACTACAGAAAGAGTGAACAAGAAACTCTGATGACGGATTGCAGGACATGGGATTCTGTCTTACGCTGCAGACCACACACAGTTTCCTGATGCTACATAACAGATTTCTGGTTATTCGGTAATTATTTTGTAATGATTAGCTTTATGGAAGAAAAAACAAAACCCAAATTTTTGTTAAAGCATTCTTAATTACCGTCTGATTCTACCACAGGGTTAGCTCTACCACACAGGACAGTAATTATAAGTATGGCTTTTAACAGGCAGCCTTTGCTAGAGACTGCAGAATCCCAACGTCCTATGCAAACAGCAAATTAAGTACAATTGTATATATTTAACACCCGGTACATATCAGTGCATTGACATTCTGGCAACTTTCAAAAAGAGGTTCTCATGATTTTTTCTCTGGTTCCTTTGGCAAACCCAGCACCAAACCCAGGAAATATATGAGCAGTTCTTACCAACTAGGAGGCCCCCATTTGAGCCTCCATTAATAGTCAACTTCTTTGGGGATGTGTAGCCTTCCTTGATGAGGTATTCGGCAGCACACTGAAAGTCATCAAAGCAATTTTGTTTGTTGGCCAAGATACCACCTAGGACACAAATCAAACAAATCAGTTGATGCCATAAAATCCATTTGATACCATCTCTTCAAAAAAACATGTGTGCAAAAATACCTGGGAACAATTCCAGTTTCATGAACAATTTAATAATTGAAGCATCTCAGAAAGACAGCAAAAATGAAAGATTCTTTCAACACTTAGAGGGTATAAGATGGTTCTGTCGATAAGTCTAATGCTTTCAGAGACTCTGAATAATACATACCTATACCATGGAGTGAGTGCCAGGTAACGTTCCTAACCAGTAAAATTAAAGCTAAAAGCTTTGCATTGCAAAATATATGCAAAATGACCACATAAAATCCAACTGAGGTTTGATCTAATGGGACTTTAACAACATTAAACTCAGTGGGAGTTTCTTAAGGCAATAAAGCTGCAATTTACAAAATAAGCTATATAAAATAAGCACTTCTAATTTCCCGGACATAGAATATGTGGCTGATAATTTACTTTTTTTTCTATTAGTTGCTTTCAATTCAGATGATATATAGCTATGGTCAAAAAGGGACTTAAGAGTTGCATCTTGGTTTGAAATTTTACTAATTGAGTATCAATATGGAAATGCTTAAGATGCTGACATCCTGTTGAACAGAATTCCAAACATGATCAGATATATGAGGAATAAAACATGACTGAAAAATGGAGGTACAGATAACATCATTGGTAACACTTCCAGTTCTCAAAACTAAAAATTTGCAAGGTGGGATAGGGAAGAAAAAGGATGCTTTTGACCTACAATCTTTCAACTATTTGAGCAGAAGAATATCAACCTAGAGAACTCATAGTTGGCCAAATCCCATAATCTTCCCACTTTAGATGCTTGTACGCCAAGAGACAAAACTGGCTTCTCCTTGAAGGTTATCCTGCCTTAAGACGTGGTATGTTCTTTCTCAGGCAATTAAATGCTTGTAAGAAAATGTTAGTAAGAAATGGGAACTAGGAAGAAAATCCACATATTCCTGAAGCAAAGGCTGTGGTCCAGCCAGGTAAGAGGAGCTCCGTGAACACAGAAGTGGAACTCTGGTTCCTTCTACTTTGTTTAAAAGCTGGATGTTTGTTCTAAGCTAATTACCTAAGGTTCCCACTGTGGTCCAGGACAATTAACTCCACTCTAAAATAAGCGAGATGAGCTATAATCTGAAGGTGTCTCTTTATCTCTACTGTCCAGCCAGTGATCCTAGACACCTAGTTTCCACCGAATGCTTAATTTCTATGTTGCAAAAGTTTGGTAAGGTAACTATGACATTTAGTCATACACATCTTGTAGAACTGGGACCACTGAATTTTTGATTTTTTTATTTTTTAACAAATACACATAATTCTTGCACTAGCAAGACCATTGAAGAGAGACATACTGGGACAACGAAAATGTCTTCAAACAGGTGGCAGTAAAGGAGAAATAAATCTTACTCTTTGCTCAAAGTTCTGGTCTGGTGTAAGGTCAGAATCCTATCTATACAATTAAAACTAAGCAAACAGACTCCTGTAATTGCTTCTGGAATTAACAAATAACAGATACATATCTTATTATGCAACTGCAATAAAAGACTTGGGTCAAAATTAAGCAGGAAATAGGTGGGTCAAAGAAGCATTATAATTTAAGATAAATTTTATTAAAATCTATTACAAACCAATCAGCAAATTAAAATTAATGAAGGATACTTCAGCTTTAGCAATAATATCCTGTATCTGCAAGCATATACAGTTTCTATTTATGAAACCATTACATGTTCAACTCAATTGTGAGGAAATAACCCAGACAAAAAGTTACCGCAGATGAAATGGTAAAACCAAGATGTAACGATATAGGAATACTGTTTTGTTTGATAAAAAGTTATTATGGATTACTCCCACTGCAAATTGCTGCATCATAAATACCACTGTTTTGGTGCATTTGCCTTGCTGACATCTCCAGCAACTTACCACCAGATTATTAGGATGCTGACAAGGCATCACCATTAAGTAATAATGGGTATGTTACAGAGCTGAGTAGGACTTTCTCCAGCTTTTTCCTCTGGTGAAGGGATGCATAAAATTGTCAACAATAAGTCAAGTTGACAAAGATAATCAAAGGATTAAAACAAGGATTGGACGGCAAAAACATGGAGAGAAATATATCAAAGGTACTAAGAAAACGGGAAAGGAGATTGTCAGGGTTTTTTAGTGAGACAGTTGTGTTTCCGCAGCGTAAAAGCTTAAAAAACCCCAAAAGGTCAAATGACTGCCTACAAGAAGTTAGATCCTCCTAAGAGAGTGTGGAGGGGATATGTCACTACACTTGTGGAGTTGATTGTTTTCATAGGAACTCCAATCACATTCACTAAATATTATAAGTCTATTAATAAATTATGCAAAAACAATCTGAAATAGTTATATTCTGAACTCAGAAGTTCACACCTTCTGTAAGGTTTGGGGTTTTTTGGATTTTGGTTTGATTTTGTGTGTGTGTGTGTGTGTGTGATACCAGGAGAGTCGAAATAGTCAGTGCTGTTGTCTTTGGAATCTAGAATTGTGGGGCCATGTGCACCTGCAAATAACTAAAGAGGTATATGAAAGCAAGACAGGTCTCCTGCAATATCAACAGACTTTTTTTTTTTTTTTGAAAATAAGTTCAAGATAAATAGCTGCATTTACAAATTTTTAAGTCTAGGAACTCGATCTTGCTTAAAAAAATCCCCACAATAACTTTCTTGGAAACTACAGTGTTTGTGCAAACCTATTTTTAAGTAGGCTACAAAAATTAAATCAATCTAACAAAAACCATCAGATAACACTGGATGACATGCAGATCTAATATACGAGTAAGGAAAAAATTTACCTTTTTTACAGAATAAGTAAAAGGCAAAGAGATGTGAGCACGGAAGAGGGAGCAAGAGAAAATGTAGTAATTTTCATTGCTAAGCTTGCAGGTTTGCTCCTCTACTTGGACTGATTTACCTTTGTGCCAGGTCTCTCCATATTCACCACCACCCCTGATGTTCGCCACTGCTAGAACACCTCCTAGGTGTCGCACAAAAATAAGTCTTGACACACTGAAAAAGCAAACAGATAGAGGATTATTTTTAATTTCCATTTTTTATATGCCTACCACTTTTACAAAAAGACTTTGAGGGAAAGACCTTCTCCCAAAATCGATGATGAAATCATGAAGGAAGCCCTCCTTGATGGCAAACCTGAGTAGCCAGGCTTTTTTCAATGGTTATCCACGAAATTAAATTCTCTGCAGCATCGGGAGATGAAGGAACCAGTGCTTGTCCATTCTTCCTCCTTTAGTTCTGCACTTTGGAGGAGAGCAGCCAGTGGTTCTGCCTAACAAAAAACACCCCAGGACATGTCAACATTTTTTTTACCATCTTCAAAACCATCACTGTGGGGACTAGAGCTATGCAGTACCACTGGACCCCCATAGCTTTCTGAATTGTTTGTCTTCTATGGGTGCTCCGCTTTTTCCAGAGAGGAGAGGAAGGCTTAGCCCAAATGAAGAAAGCAAAGAACTAATACTTAAGATCAGCACTTGATCTTTGTTTATGAGCAGGTGTTTTCAACTTCTGCTTCATATCCTTTTTTTTTGGACCTTTATAAAAGGTGTGTGCAAAGAAAAACTCTGCTTCTACTGTTGTTTTGTGCCAGGGTCTGCAGTCAAGTTCTGGCCAATCTCCTTATTTATTTTCCACTTGCATTGCTAAATACAAAACAAACAGTAAAAAGTAAAATGAAAAGTTCTGCCTTCCCTAGTATCTCTAGAACCTGTCTGAAAGCTAAAGTAGCATAAATCTTTTTTTACATGTCAAATTGCAAAAGTATCAAAGCTATTGCTACCTTTTTAAAAAGGGACTGAAGTAATTTAAATTATATTTAACAATTAAGAAGAGAAATAGATCTCTGATCTCTTGAGGCAGTAGCTTAAGATAGCAGAAGCTCCAGATGGCAAATCACAAATATGACAAGGAGACCAGTAAAATATTAAAATTTAATCTCAACAAGTCTTTTTTTTTTTTTTTTCCCTCTCTAGTAGGCTCAAATTTCTCATTTACTTTAAATCTTTGCTCATGCAAGAAAACACTGCCTGCCAAAATTAATCCTATTCACCCACAAAACCAAGGATTGGGGCTTTTTACCTTTAACTACCAAAACCAGGTAAATTTTTCATACCTCCCAAAGCAATTATCTATGTACTGGCACTTGCTCTTGAGAGTATATACCAAGGATTAAGGAAATACAAAGAAAAGCAGAAGGATGACTGATAAGAAAATTATGTATTTTCGTAATCCATCAAAGGAAAAACTTTCCACCTGGGATGGTTATCTGTGGCCATCAGATGGCTCAGGAGGCATGAATTACCTCTGCTTCTGTAAAATCAATTCTGAAGTCCATCACTGTCTTCTATTTTCCTTAGATTGCTGTGACATGCTGATCAGATGCAAGATTTTTATTCTACAAGCACACTGTGCAAAGGTCAGAGAGCATTATTTTGTCAAACTCCAGGATCCCTAATTTTGACAGGCTGCTACACAGCTAGTGTGGTATCGTCTGACAGTAGGTTGCCTCATGAGATTGTGGCTTCTTAACTTTTGGTATGTTAGAGTGACAAAACCTCCCAGAATATTCTGCACTTCATTTCCCTGCCTCTGTCCGAAACAAAACCAATAGAAACTTTTTGGTTCAAGCTTACTTGATCTCCTAGTAATCAAAGGTAGCAAGTATAGGAATTTCAGGTAAGTTAAGAGCTTGCTACCCAAATATATTGCCTGAGAATATTTAAAAAAAAGTAATTCCAGAACAGAGTCCATCCTCTCCCATCTGCCAAAAGAAACTGTGCCCATCTGAGGGATCAGCATATTTAATCAGCAAAGAATCTGTGAACAACGCAAAACCAAAGTACTGAGTGCATCCTATCCTGTCCATGGACTCCTCTAACAGAGATGGTACCTTGATGATAATTTTTGGAGTAGTCTAAGTGACTGAGGATCTCACAGGACATGCAGTACTCTTATTATAGGAAGCTAGTCCCCATTTCCACAAGCAAACAATTCTTCTGCCACACAAACCCTCAATGGGATAAAGTCCAGAGTTTGGTAACAATAATTATACTGCCCAAATTATAAGTAAGGTTTAGTATATCTGTTCTCACTCTCAGCACTTCTACTGGGATTTAGGCACTTGAGAAAACATTACCTCATATATCCCAACATATACATCTAGTAATGTCACTGCCAATGACTATTCATTAATACCAATGCCAGTATGGTCAGCAGTAAAGTGAGTCAGGACCCTAACTTCACCAATACTTTGAGGTACATGTGCCTAGAACTTATAACAAGGTTTTTCAAATTGACTTTTAAGTTCAAGGAACCAGGTTTTCTAAGTAATATCATCAGGACTCATTAACTTTCAAAAAATGTGAAAATTCCAAGTGATCAGACAGCACAAAATTCAAGTTTCATACACAATCCTGCTACTGCCTCCTGTGTTCTTCCAGGTAGCTTCTTGCTTCCAGATTTGATTTCAAGTTAATTTGGTGTCTGAGTCACAGCAAACTGCCCAGTCACCCTGGGTGCCTATGAAATGTTTTGCTCTGCAGAGCAAAGTCTGTCTCCCTGCTCTTTCCAACACTCTGTCTAGCCTTTTGCTCATCATCCCTGTTTTTACCTTGTTCCCAGGAGAGAAGGAAAGAAAAAGTATAAAGGAAGGGACAACAGGGTCAGGAAGGAGCCAGTGGAGGGAGCGGAAGATAGTTCCTTCCCTGGAGAGCTCATTCCAGACCCTATCACTCTAAGGGAGCATAACACAAAAAATAAGAAAACAGGTATGTTTTTTTACAGTATAGCACAATGTGAGGAGCTGTGCTTCAAGGAGCAAAAATGCTTTCCCAGAATTACTGATCTGCTGTCAGGTTGTACAGCTGACAGAGAAATGCAGGCTGGTGCATGGGTGATGGAGAAAAAAATCCAAGTCACTGGCCCTGCTTGCTTTCTTGGCTTTCTTGGTAACACAGTAACCGAAAAGAGCAATCTTGCACTCTGCACTGGTGGCTGCTGTGTTGCTTGACCTTTCTCTGCGCTTACAGTCTCTTCCCTGCACCACCTCTTTGCTTAAAGGCTGAGTACAACCTGGCTCTGGAGCAGAGAAGTGCAATTTCACAGTCTGCTTCACAATCAGCTGCATTCCAGGATGCATTAGAAATGGCTTCTCCTGTACCCATGCAGGCACAAACAAAACAGCAAAAGAGAAAACCGTTGGCTGCTGCAGGGTGATGAGCCGAATCTGAGGTGATGGGTTTGCGATGGCATTTCTCCAGCAGCAGTGCCAAGCCACTGGTGTCAGTTCCATCAGCCTTACCTTGCACTTGCCCTGCAGGCTGTACGGTTAATGACAGTGCTCTAGCGGGCACCACACTCAATGTGCTACCAAATGCAGGCCTTCAGTCCACAGGAAGATCTAAAAGATGCATGCTTGCATTCAAAAATAAATGGCTACTGTAAGCGACTTAATGGATTTAGCCTATCATTCTTACAGTTATTTCTGGATCCTTCCAATCTCTTGGTTTGTTTCTATTGCTTTCAGGTGAAAAATATTTTATTTTCATTTTCTGTGTTGGAGAATAAATGAAAAGCAACAGCAGTTTCGGAGTTAAGCAGAAATAAGCTTCCCAACCCAGAAACCCAGAGAGCTGGCTCATGTTAATAGTTAATAATAAATACCAATGAGAAAACATTGTACTGACTTGAAGAAATACAAGCTAGAAAGGAACCACTGTAAAGGAGGAGCGCCTTGTGAAAAGCTGTAAGAGCTCAAATAAAAAAAAAATCAGGAATATTTATCCAAGAACTTTTTTGTTTCGTTTTTTAAAGGTAAGCAGGCTACTACTTGGTTGCATTTCCACAGCCACATCTCTGCTCAGGATCAGATGAACTATGTGGCAAGTCTCAGCCTTGACCATCCTGTGGTTGCTTTCTAGCACTTGTGCCTATGGTCACCTACAGAAAAATGACTGAATCATGGTTTTGGGCTGTGGCTGGAGCAGCGCTTGGACCTGGGAACTACTCGTGGAATACTGCAGTACATAGTAACAGGGATGTAGTCAAACATTACTTGAATCTGCCAGGTAAAGGGGGAACTGGACGCTCTGCCTTTCTGGCATACATTCTCTATTACAATTTCCTTTCCCTGACCTTACCTGCCTACTTTTGGAACACACTTCCTCACCGAGTACTCAATTCTCAGGTTATTGACCATAAATATGCATTTGAAGGCTTTGGCTTTTCTTATTTTTCTTTAAGAAAGGCTGAGAAGAGAAATGTTGGTATTACAGGGAGATAATGAGGAGGGAGGTGGGGCCAATCATGTTTTATTTATGTTGTCAGTGGGATAATGTATTTTGACCTGGAAGTGAAAGATAGTTCTCTGTGCATTTACTTTTAAGGGACTATCACAGATTCATATTTTTATTTTATGAACTGTATAATAAATGCTTCAAAGGGTTCAGGAAGACATAGGTCACTGCTTCCACCTCCCATCTTCCTCTCTTCTGTCACCTGCACCCTCCTGCTGCTGTTTGCTGGACTCCTATGAGAGTCAATTTTCAACTTGCAAATGGCAGAAAACCACGCACTCCTTTTTGTTGGGAGTTTTCTGCCATTCTTGGAAGGTAAATCAGCTTAGCAAAGGTTCCAGCAAACACAAGGGTCAACGGATGGGAGGTGAAAGGAAGCACCGTGAGATACCTTCTCCTTTTGTCAGCAGCCAGCTCGTGTCAGCTCTGCAGTAGGTGAAATTTTATCTTAAAATAATAGATATATAATATTTATTTTTTAAAAATGGTATGTTTTATCACAGTTTTCAGCATCTACAATAAATTGCAACAAATCAGTGCTTGAGTCTAATCTAAAAATTAATTAAAAAACTATTCTGGTTATGTAATTGAGTCTCTCAAAAACCATAGGAAATAAAAAATGTAGCTCTACAAGGCAGATAGAAAACTTTCAAATAATCATAGAGCACAAGTTGGGAGGCCCATTGTTAGACAAGGTATTTGGCTAGGAAGTATGAGAAACTGTAAATGATATTTAGAAACACAATCACAGTGACCTGGAAGAGCAAGCACTACAAAGGATTTCTTGAAATGTGCTGACTCTAAAGCAAAACTGGTAGCACCTCAACTTAATAGGATACTTTAATAATAGATCATTTTTGTGTTGGTGAGCTGCTCTTCTACCAGCTGAAAAACTGCTCTCCATTCAGTCGTTTGTACTTCTCTTTTCTCCTGCCTTGCCTAGGGGCATTTCTTAAATATTACAGAAAATCACTGCCTTTTGCTAAGTCTATTCAAACTCCCTTGCTGAGGAAATAAGCCTTTTCCTTAAAGAGATCATCTATTCAATAAAGCTTATTGCTTTTGAGGGCTAGAAGTCCTGTTTTGACACAGCATTTTTAGTTTACAATTAGTTGCTTTGCATATGCAGAGCCTATATCACATGCATCTCAAGACAGAATCACACAACACAATTATCTTTCCTGATTACAAGGGAACACAGTAGGAATTTGCTTCTGATTTAATCTCCTCAAAAGTATAAAATGAAAATACAGCTAAGTTTATTACTTATTATTATTTACAGTAATTTCAACAAATATTTGATTTTCTATAATATTTAGACATTAGTCTGGGGAAACGCCTTGAATTCAGAACTAACAAAGCAGACAAATGATGCCTGGACGCTGGCGTGCAGTCCTTATGGCCCCCATCTTGCTTCCCAGGGACCTGAAATGCATTACTCTGTCAGATCCATCGTCTACCATGTCTTCAGTCTGTGACAGTTGTTAATACTAGATACTTCAGAAGAAGGTATAATCACTCTGCTTACCTGTAGCTTGGTGTAATGGATATGTTGAAGCCTCCATATCCATACAGGAAGGCAGGATGAGAACCATCCAATTTAATTCCTTTCTTGTGAATAATAAACATTGGGATCTTAGTACCATCTTTGCTAGGGTAGAATACCTAAGAAAAAGAAAAAGAAATCTGAAATGCTGTTATTACTGTAACTGTCCACAACTGCTGTTAACAAGAATCAGAGGCATTCACTTCCACCGGGTACAGCGGTAAAACTTTCCAAGCAATCCGCACCGATATACCAGGTCAGGTTCAGTAATGGCCATCACCTGCTTGGTTGCTTAATAGCTCTGGAAAATGCACCAAAACAAGTCAATACAAAGGGTATGACACTATAATTTTTACATATCTTATCCATCAATTCTACATACAAGGAGTGGGTTTAAGAAAATGCTACAAAACCAGCATAATTCTCTGCAAGGGAAGACTGGTGCTGTGAAAACAAAAGCACTGTGTGGTCCATCACATATGAAAGCAACAAAGACTGAGTCAGCAAGGAGAATGAACAGAACTAAAACTAGTTTTACAATCTAAAATTTCATTTTAAAAATTCTCATTTTTAAAAATTCAAAATTTCAGACCTTAGAGAACAGTGGACAGAGAAGAAACAAACTCATGGTAGGGTGGTGACTTAGCAAGACCCCACTAAATATTACATTGTTTTGGGTAACAGAGTTATGTTTCTTACAAATAAATATGTAAAACTCTCTGAAGGTCTGGTCTTGTACCACTGAAATAACAGAGAAGTCTTTTGTTTCAGCTGATGCAGCAGTCTTTGCTTGCAGAAACATAAATTTAATCAACAAGCAGAAGGCCAAAGATATTTTAAAAGTCACAGTATTTTCGTTTTAGCATTCATACATCAGCATTACAATTTATCAATGGAGTCATTCCACACACCAGACTCAAGTCAAAATAATAAACTTTGAATAGCTAAAGATGCTGTTTCTTACTAAGCCTTGTGAAAACAGCAAAAAGCTGACTACTCAACACTTGTACATGCAGCATTAATTCACCAAAGCAAGTCTGTGTCCAGTAGAAGGGGACTACTGGCCAGTCTTTCCAGCTTGTCTCAGTGACCATTTCACCCCCTCAGGGTGATAACATAACCCAGGACAGAAACTTTTGTAGCACTCGGTGCATTTTTCAGGCATTACCTAGCAGCTAGAACCAGGAGCCTTAATGCTGCACAACCCCCAAACCCATCCAGCAAGACAACTGAACCACCCGCTGGCTTGCAGGAAATCAGCTCCCAGAACACCAAGTATCCATGTAGCACCTGCTTTCACATGTCTTTCTATTACTGCCACAGTACTGTCTGAACGTAAAAGCTAAATTCCATGTACATAAACATAGACTGCAATTGCTTAACAAGTTCCCATATCTTCTTGTTTTGATGTATCTGCGTGCATGCTCTAATTTAGGATCCAGCCTGTCTTATTTTGCCAGTCAAGCAAAACATGTGGGTGTGAATGCAGTTTATTGCTTGTCCTGAAGTTCTGGTTGACTGCTTTTCATTACTTTGGCTTTAGCATCATTATTTGCAGTTTCTAATCTACTTAGAACAAACTCATAGTAAATAAGAACAACATCATTTTATTGCCTATTTACAACCATGGTTTTAAAGGAAACAGACCCACCACACTTTACAAAGCACATGCTCAACAGGATCTATTTTTGTAACACATGAACCTCAACTGTAATACGAATCTGTGCAATGCATTTATTCTGAGCATTGCCTGTAATGTGAAACATGTAAACCCACACAGCATGTTGAAAACAAAATAATCACATTTAACTGTAATCATTGTTATGGAAATATGAGAAATTTAAAATAAAACTATATCTACCTCCAAAGGCTCCACCATAACCTGTAGATGTATTCTAGGTAAAATTCAGTATTTCACAGTTCCCAGAAGATGGAAAAATTCAGAACAAAAGCCTGAAGGCATTTTCACACAGATGAAATCACTGTTTCCAACTACTGACACAACTCTACTGACAAAGCACTCGCCAGAACTCACTGTGGTAGAATACAAAGGATTTTCATTTTGGGTATTTAACAGAACACCATAAATAAATAAAATATCTGATGGACAGGAGAACTGCTGAGGCTCGTGAGAGGAGATCCAGAGAGACCTCTTTCTAAAATGCTGTCCATCAACTCCAGTTGCTGCAGGCAATTCACACCAAGTGAATACCTGGCCCCCCTGCATTTTTCCTTGAACTTACTGTTGTTGGCCAGTCCTTTCCTGACGATTAAAGGATGCCAATAATTTTGGTGCTTTTTTCTGAACAAGGGGCTTTTTTAAAAAAAAAGCCAAAACAAAACAAGAAACAAACCTCTCTGAAAACTGACTTTCAGTAGGGCTCTTACGGTCACCAGTTAAGATTAAATAACACACCATTAAACGAAAACTCAACAAAAAGACTCAAAATAAAGGTAACATTTGCAATTTGTTTTCACTCCTATCTTTGCTAAAATAATTATTACCTCTCTCTCCAAGATAAGCAAAGGCAGGAGGAGGGGGGATGGAAATAAATTCCATGAGACACCTAAGCTTCTCCAAATAGACTGTTTTCAACAACTGATTCAATCTCACCTTTAAATTAGGAAGCAAGTCCAATGGTTTACTCATGTAACCAATAGAGGGATGGGCTTTTATCTCAAAGATTAAGGTAAACTGTAAAGGGCAAGCCCTAAAAAGAAGAATTTCCCAAGATGGTATTTCATGCCTAATTTTAGAAGCTGTGAGCTTTTACCAGAGTAAATGCTCATAAAAGGGTACTACTGTTTTCTGCTTTATCGCAGCTCAGACCGATCCACTTCTACTGGCCACATTATATTACTCATTGAGGATATATTTTCAAATAGAGACTCTCATGTCAGCACAGCCATTAGCACATATACGAAGAGGACAAATTAGCAAAATGGTTTTGGAGGGAAAAGGATGGAGGACAATGCTCAAGATATATTATTATGAACAATGAAACTCATAATTCAAGGAGGGACATGCTAAAAATAAGTATTTTCAGCCTGTAGGAATGCACCAGCAATGCTGTGTGGTTCACAAGGCAGTCCTGGTGCATGCAACCCCTCATGCTATTCTAGGAACATACTGCTGGAGCAGTACAGCAGCCCTGAAATAGTTGTAGCTAACTTCAGCTCACACTAATGTCCCTATCTGTCACACGGCAGGGGGATCTCAGTGCCAGAAGGAATCACTGTCAATTCAGATGCCAGAACCTGAGGCATCAATTTACAGCCCCTGTTCCTCTTATGACCCAGTGAGAAAGCAACACTGTTCACACAATTACTCATTACTATCAACTACGGGAAGATTAAGCTATATAACCTACACAAACAATCTTAGCCATTCTTCTTTAGTGCTGACATATATATTTATAGAGTGGTTTGGGTTGTGGTTTTTTTTGGTTGTTGTGTTTTGTTTTTTGTTTTTTTTTTTTTAAACCTGGCATTCTAAAAAAATTTACACTCAATTTTCACCCGAGAAAGCCACTGGAAGTTTACTACCAAGACAGTTTACAGAGTAAGTTCTACAGTAAATACAGTTAATGGCTGTGTCATAGGACTTGTAAATTTACTTAGGAGTTATGTGAGGTAAAAAAGTTCTGTATATTCACTCCTATGGACAGGTCTTTGTCTTCCTAACTATTGTTTGTTTTAAATATGCAGTGTTTATGCTAGGTAAATCTTCACTTAGGGAAGAGGGGAACAATCAGCCAGTGTTGTAGGCACAGACCTCAATTCAGAAAGAATTTATCTACTGCTGCGTCTGCAGTGACAAGAAGTGTCCTCTCCTTCACAAGTCACCACAAAAGAGGATTTGAAAGAACAAGGTTGAAGACAAACTTTTTTTTTTTCATTTGTCTGTAGATAACATAGCCAGACATTGTGACTTACAGAACTAAAAATAATTTTGACAATCATCCACTATGCACTTCTTTTATGAGTAAACATGAAATCATTATCTTCAAATATTAAAGGAATTGATATGATCATCACAACAAATAAAGAAATAAAACTAACCTGACTGAATACTCACATTGTGCCACATAATTAAAATACCTAAAACTACTGAAATGAGTTTTGAATAGTATCTGAAATTAGATACTATTCAATATATTCATCAACGAC